GAAGGGCTGTGTTTATTATATAAATTTTTTTCTTTTTTTTTTTTTTTTTTTTTTGGTACCAGAGAGTGAACTCAGGACCTTGAGGTTGTGAGGCAGGTGTTGTGCCACTGTGCTAAATCGCTGGCCCAGATAACTTCCATATTTAAGAAAAAGAAACAAATATATTAAAGTATTAGGACTATATAGCATGAGACAATGAAGAAATAAGGTTTCCGTTACCTTTTCTACATTTGCCTTTTCATAATAAAATGTAAGAATGAAAAATAGTATATGACACAAAAGGCAGGCCTGTCCTCACCTAATTATTAATGTAGACCTTTCACACTGATGGGCAAGAGTCTCTATGAGGAGAGCATGGAATTATCATTCTTCATTTTTAGCCAGTTAAGCTCCCCAAAACTCCAATTCCCAGTTTTGCCTAGAGTGAAAGTCCCTGCTACTAGAGTTCAAGAATGTCTAACACTGCTTGTGCAGGTACCTGCCTCCAGGATAAGGATTCATTTTGAGGAAAGGTAAGCATGTCAAATGACAAACCTTGGTCATGGGAGGGGAGAATTTTTGTTGTTGTTGTTGTTACCAGGGATCAAACTCAGGACCTTGTGTTTGTGAGGCAGGTGTGGTACCACTGAGCTAAATCCCCAGATTTTTTAAATTTTTTTAAGACAAGGTGTCACTTTGTAGTCTAGAATGGTCCTAAACTCACAATGTAGTCCAGGCTGGCCTCAAACTCATGGCAATCCTCCTGCCTCAACCTCCTAAATGCTGGGATTACAGCTATATGCCACCACAGCCAGTGGGGAGGAAATTCTAAGTGAGATATGAGACTAGCACTTGGTCTGTCTACCAGGCTTCCAGAGTCATTTATTCTTATCAAAAACACAAGAGCCAAAAATAAAACTGCTACTCTTAAAAAACAAAAAACAACAAAAAAAAACCTAGCAGCTGAAGATGTAGCTCATTGGCTGAACACTTGCTTGGTATGTTGGTATGCATGCGATCCTGGGTTCAATCCTCAGCATGCACACATGCACACACCTATACCAACACATCTTTACCCCAGGATCAGGATTATAGCACTCACATCTTTGACCACTCAAGAACTCCAAGTCATCAGAATTTATAAAACCTGGAACAACAGGTAGAAAGCAGTAGTGCCCTATGGAAGTAGCAACATCCAGAAAAGTAGCAGAGGTGTCCACAAGGAGCTATAGTACCAGGAAAGAAAGCAGGACTTTATGGGCTTAGAAAAAGTGAGTCACACCAAGTAAGGGTAGAAGAATACTAATAGCTAACAATTTCATAATATTTACAGTATGCCAAGTACTGTTCTAAGCATTTTATCTACATTCTTTTATTCCTCAAAACAACTCTACATGAGAGATATTGTTATTTTCATTACTTTACACACAGGCCACTGAGGTACTGTGGCAGATATCTCCAAGACAACCACCTGTCTATTCGTCTTTTTTGTATCTTCAGACCACTCCTTAATAAAAGAAAGGGAATCTATTCCACCATGTGCCTTGCAAGAGCAAGATCCTGAGTTTGATCCCCAGTACCAAAAAAAAAAAAGAAAGAAAGAGAGTCTAATTCTTCACCCTTAAATGTAAGCTGGCCTTAGTAATGTGCTTGATTAAAAGAAAACAATCAAAATGGCTTTCTGAGATTTCTAAAGCTAGGCCATAAGGAGCCACATAGGCAAGGTCTCTTAAAATGCGTACTCATTCTTGGGACATTCCTTCTCATAGCCAGCTGCCACACTATGCGAATCCCAAGCCACATAAAGAGGCCACACGAGCCAGGCATGGTGACACATGCCTGTAATCCCAGCACTCAGGAAGCTGAGGCAGGAGAATCACTGTGAGTTCGAGACCAGCCTGGGCTACATAGTGAGTTTCAGGTCAGTCTCAATTACATAGTGAGCATAGTGAGACCCTGTCTCAAAAAAGACAAAAAAAAAAAAAAACCACAAAACAAAACAAAGAGGCCACGCGTAGGGATTCTAATGAATCAACCCCAACTGAGTTCACAGCTACTGTTAGGTATCTCCTGGCCATGAGTGTGCTGACTTGGCCAGCCAGCCCAGCTGAGCCTTCAGATGATACCAGCCCGTCTCTATATGAAAGCAATTGTATAAGAGAGAGGCCTCAAGAGAATCACTCAACCCAGGCCACCTAGTCCTCCCACAGCACCATAAACGATGATCTTTTTTAAAATATAATTTAAGATGCTAAGTTTTGGGGTAGTTTGTTATACAGTAAAAGATAGGGCTGGGGATGTAGCTCAAACGTAGAGCACTTGCCTAGCATGTGTGCAGTCTTGGATCCAGTCTTCAGTACTCAAGACCATGGGGTTAAAAACAACAGGGTAGAGCAAAGATTCAAACCCAGCTGGCTTTAGAGAATCTGCCTTTAAACATTATTTTATGGGCCGGGGATTTGGCTCAGTGGTTCTGCCGCCTGCCTCAAAAGTGCAAGGGCCCAAGTTCAATCGCCAGTGCCACCAAAAAAAAAAACCACATTATTTTATACTGCTTCTCATTTCTGATAACTAATATGCAGTACAGGGATCAGAACGGGGTGGGAGTGGGGGGAGTATAATATTATCCTCTAATGGTAAGTGGACTTGTATGGGAGTACATGTAAGAAATTCCCCAAAACACTGAGTGACATTATAAAGAGGTTGGTATATTTCATTACCCAATGGAGGGGACAAGGAGTTAAAACATGGGTTCCAGAATGAAGGTCAATCTGAAACTTACCTGTCGCTGGATAAACATGGTCATCACCTTCTTTGCTTGTTCAAATGGAGATTCTTCACCAGGAAAGGAGTTACTCATGGCAAAGCCCACATCCATACAGAGCACAACAGCTGCCTAGAAACAAAATCCAAAAGAGTATATGAGAAAATAACAGTCATTAAAAAAAGATTCTGAGACATGCTCCTTACTTCCTGCACTCTCAGAACCTATACTGGGATTTCAGGGAGGCATGATAAAGGGAATGGCTATGTTCTACACAGAGAATGTATGCAAGTTACAAAGTTTCACTTTGGAAAAGGCTTAAATAGTTCTGATACTCTCTCAAAGAAAGTACCCAGCAGGAGAGAAACATGCTCCCGGGAGCTGGCATTTCTGTCCCTGAGCTCCAGAATGGATCTGTAGTGAGTAGACCTGAAATGAACCAGCAGGCTATAGCTAGTCCAGTCCCACTGAGCCAACAGGCATCAGGATGAAACTGTAAACTTACCAGCATGAGTAGACGCTTTTGTTAAGTCACCAAATAGGGCATGGTTTGTTATAAAGCATATTTGTGGCAATAGGTTACTACTCCAATCTATATATGCTAAGATGGAATACCCTAACAATTTGAATCAGCTTGTAAACTGGGGACTAAAATAAAGACTAAGATACTAAATCTATTCTAACAAGAGACACAAACACATATCAATGCCAGCACAATGTTACATAACAACAAGTTTGCAGTAGTCAGTAAGACACTGGAGAAACATCGACCCAACATTACAGTGGGGGGCTTGGAAGTTAGTACAGTGGTGCCACCACCAACACTTGCAGTGGGGACAAAAGAGGGATAAGGCAGAAAATCCTTCTTGAATCTATTGTTTGGAAGGAGCTGATTCTTACAGATTGAGCATGAGTCAATTATGTGAACACAGAAGTTGCAGAGGGAATCTCATAAGTGAAGGCACCACTCATTAAATAGCAATCACATATGTAGGAGACTAATGAAATAAGGGAAATAACCTAAAAGTAAAAAAGGATACAAGTGAAATTATGGCATCCAAAATTTAGCTGAATACAAACTGCAGGAGATCTGAACTAATAGCAACTCATAATTTCAGAGTGGATTATAAAATGAGTAAATATGATATGGTTTCAGCATTACATTTTCCACCCCTATTTCACTGCATTGCCTCAGACAGTTTAGCTTGTATCAACAGTCTAATGAATGCAAGAAAAGGTTTTTTTTAAAAAAAAGGACTAGATTAGTTATACTGAGACCTGTGTTCTAGCCCCATCTCTACTAATTAACTCTGAGTCCTTAGTAATGTTACTTAACATTACTGTTAATTCAAGGAGGCAGGAAACCCTTAGACTAGATGAGATTTAAGTTGTTTTCAGAGTTAAAATTCCTAGACCCTGAGTTCCAGTCTCCTCTGTGATTTATAATGATCAAATTGTGAGCAATTCCAGGTATCATAAGAGCAAGATTAATTACAACTGGATATGAATGAAATTTGGGAAGGATCTGGAGACTACGTTACATAAAGATGAAAAAAAACTAGTGGTTGATCCAGGTGAGAAGACTGAGAGGAATATGACAGGCCTCACCTAAATATTTGACAGCTGTATTATAAAAGGACTGCTGGAGAGTAATATGCTCAATAGATGGAAGTTACAGTGAGTCATCTGACTTCATATAGGGAAGGGGGGAATTTAGAAGCAATTAATAAAAGAATTGCTGTTTCCTGAAGCAGTGATCACCTGACCCCAGAAGTGTTTGAAAAACCTAGATGAGATCCTGTCAGGGAAGTCATAGATGATTTCCAAATTTGCCAGAACCTTTTGCAATACATGAAAAGGAAAGACTATTTCCATCTAGCTAATAAAGAATTTGAAATAATGCACAAATATTTAAAAATTTCTGGAGTAAGGATAGCTTATATGGGAAAAAAGTAGTAAAAAAAAAATTCCTTGGAGAGCAATACAATTTACATCCCATAGTTTTCAATGCTCCAAGCATAAAAGCCTAAAAGAAGTTCAGTTAGAAAATATACTTCTAGGCCTGGGGATTTAGCTCAGTGGTTCCACCACCTGCCTCGCAAGTACAAGGTCCCAGGTTTGATACCCAGTACAAAAAAAACGTACCAGGGATTGAACTCCGGTCCTTGCACTTGCAAGGCAGGCCACGGAACCACTGAGCTAAATCCCTGGCCAACAAAACCTACTTTTAAACCAGAAAACTTAAGGACTAAAGATCTTCTGCCAGGAATCAGGTATCCAGAAAATGGCATCAGAGTTTTACAGCCCAGCATGATGGTATGTGCCTATAATTCCAGCACTGTGGGAGAGTGAGCCAGAAGGATCACAAGTTCTAAGTCCAGCCTGAGAGACTTAGCTAGATCCTGCCTCAAACTTTTAAAAAATTATCGTAGTGAGGATGTACATCGCTCATAACAAAGGCCCTTGTTCAATTTCCAGTTCAGGAAGGGACCAAGTATGTTCACAATATGGAACTTCTCATCTAGAAGAAGAATGACAATACAGTACTTTAAGTTCCTTTCTGAACACAGTAAGAAAACCAGGAGAGCAACAGGGTAGCAACTTTTCATTTCTACACTGAAGGAAAATAGGCTGTTAGGATTTTACTACAAGTTTCACTGCCACCACAAATAGCAACTCCACTGGAGCTACAAACTTTTCAGCAGAAAGAAGAACAAAAGAGGTGAATGGAATCATTATGAGCTCATAACCGCAATCAGCATTTTCCAACAGGGAGCTAAAGAAACGAGAGTTCTGCTGCTCAAACTTTTATCTTGTTTATCTGTGTTGAATGAGTAAATCAATGGAGAGAAGAATTGGTTGCTGGAATCACACCTCCTTTAGTGACACAAAATTTTTTTAATTCATTGTAATTTGTCATTAATCTGGGACAACAAGGGTCACTGATTCTTAACAAAGCAGAGAATTCTTCAAGTCTTGGAAAACAAAATATCTTGGGTTCAAATCCGGATTGTAACACTTAAGGACTGGGTGATTTTCTATGCCTCTTCCCACTTGCAAACTTGGAGACAATATGAACCTCACCAGGCTGTTCTGAAGATTACATGAAATAGGAATAAAAAATTTAGACCTGTGACTCATACAGAGTAAGCTTTCATAAATTCAAGGCACTAAATTAGTATAGCGGTAGTAATATGATGCTTTACATTTCAAGTTATTTTACTCACAAAATCCCTCCCTGACGTTTTAGATCAAGACTGTGGGCTCCGAAGCAACAGAAGTAGGTAAGGGAGCAGGTGGGATTAAGGGCTATAAAGGAGAAGTGGATGGGGAAGGAGTGAGGAAAAAAGAAATGCAGGGGTGCCAGGTGAGGTCTCACACTCTGGACTCCAAATTCTCAGCTTTTTTGACAGGTCCTCGATCCCGGTCCTCTAGATTCAGGCCACTACCGTGATCTCCCCTCTCGCCTCACCATTTGGCACCGCTGTCAACCCACAATTCCTGCTACCGAACCTCCCTCCCCAAACCCCAGAATGGGTAAGACCCAAGCCCAAGGCTCGCACTACCTTTCCCGACCGCGCCATGTTGCCGACCGCTGGCGCTTTAGATGAATCTTCCGGGCGGGAAACTGCAGCGACTACGTAACCAAATTCCGGCGAACTCGCGCGCTTCCCCAAACGCAGAAAGCAGCTTCCGGCTGGACCAGCAAGGGGCGGGGAAACCGTGCCCAGAACTCTGAGCAGGCGCAGATTTTCTCCATTCCACTCTGGTGAGGATCTTGTGGTGTTTGGGTTTATGAAACGCTATTACTGGCTTAATATTATTATTTTTCCGAAAACTGGACTTCCCTTTGCTGTCATTGTCAGGAACCCTTCCGCGTTGGGTGTCAGCCTCTAGACTCCCTTGAGTATAATCCCAGAGGACCACTTGTCTCCTCTACTGGTCTGTTTGCTCTTCTAGAAAGGGTGCTAATGGAAGGTTTTACAGATGCAACGACCTGAGCTCCAGCTGCCAAAGAAAAGAGTTTTTCAAGCAAACGGGGGGGGGGGCATCCTCCTTTACTAAGAAAACATGGTGTGTGAACACCTGGAGGAGTGAATCAGCCTCTGCTTCAAAAGTGTCTGCAGATCTTGAGCCAATCTGGTAGAATAAAATCCAATCAGATTTTCTCCCTCTTGAAAATTGGACCTTGGGGCTGAGGATTTAGGTCAGTGCCTTGCAAGCACGAGATCCTGAGTTCGATCCCCGGTATCAAGAAAAAAGAAAGAGAAAATTGGACCTTGGGAAAGCTGGAAATAACGCTGAAAAGATGTAGAGAATCCATGAGAGGGGCCTTGAGGGAGCCAGTTATAAATATATGGGAGCCAAGAGAGATAACTTTCAGACTGCTCATAGAGCCCAATAATTTTCCAGTTTTGGTTTATTTTTATTCAAACGCAGAGTTTTCTCAAAGCTGAAATACTATTTTTAATAACAGTTCTACTATAGTTGGTAAAAGGAATCACTGGACTCACTGCAGTGAAGGAAATATGCTTTATGTCCATGATATCATGCCTGTGTATAGTCTTGTTTTTTCGTGTGTTTTGGGTTTTGTTTGTTCTGTTGTTATTGTTTTGTCTTGTTTTGTTTTGAGACAGGGTCTTGCTCTGTAGTTCAGACTGGCCTGGAACTCACTATGTAGCCCAGGTTGGCCTTGAACTTGCAGCAATCCTCCTGCCTCAGCCTCCCAAGTGCTGGGATTACAGAGGTGCCCTACCACACCTAGCTGTCTCTTTTCTTTTTCCTCTTCCTCCTCTCACGGTCCTCCTTCCACTCCCCTCCCCCACACACACACATCCCTAAATTTAACTCTATTCTTTGGAAGAACTGAACTTCTAGTAGCTGTGCTGGTCTGCATCTCAGCTGTCATTATACAACTCTTTTAAACCATCCACTTCCAGGCAGTTCGGCAGCCATTGTGTTACAGATGGATACAGATTTTAAGCATTGCTTTCCTCGGCAATAAGTCTCCGTTTATCAAGCATAAATGGGGCAGACATCAATGTGGCACCTTATATGGCTACTCCCTCTTCCACAACAAAAGAATTTTGTTGTCGTTTCATTTCTACCTGTCAGTGTGAGGTCATTTGGAT